TAAAATGAAATAAAATGAAAAATAATAATAAAATTATTATTATTAATTATTTTAAAAAAACTTTTATTCTAATTTAACTAAAATTTTAATTTATTTTATTTTATTATTATTATTATTATTATTATTATTATTATTTTTTTTAATATTTAAACATCCAATAAATATTTTTTTTTCTCCATTCCTTTCTTTTCATACTTTAAAATAGATTCATTAATAAAGGAATAATGAGTACAGAATTACCTGACCCTTCCAAAATTAAACTCATTACAACTGGTATTTATTCATAAGATGTTTATTCCATTTTAATATAATATTTTATCAATTGAATTTTAAATTTTAAAATTTAAATTTTCTAAAAAAAAAAAAAAAAAAAAAAAAAAAAAAAAGGTTATAGTATAATTATAAATATAAATAAATATTTATAGATATTTTATAAAAATCATATATATATTTAATTGAAATTGATAATATGAAATAATAAAAATATAAAAATATATATATGAGGAATAAAAAAAAAAAATATTTTAAAATATATATATATATTTTGTTTTATTATTACTATAATTTATACCTTTAAATTCACTTAATCTCTCATTGTTATCTTTTTTATTATAATATTTTTTTTAATAAAAATATAATCATAATAATAAATTATTTTTTTTTTAAAAAAAAAATTCATAATAAATTAACTTAAATTAAAAAGACCTTGATGGTACCCTCATTAATCCACAAGGAGACATTTCTCAAAATACCAGAACAATTATTAAAAAGGTTTTAAAAAAATATCCAGATCTTCATTTTGTAATTGCTACGGGTAGAGCAAGACCCGCCACTGCAGACGTTCGTGAAAAACTTGGTATTACGGAGAGACCCAATACAGAATCATTACTTTTAAACGGTTGTATTATCTATGATTATAAAGGAAATATTATATGGCAAAATACGTTACCTACAGAGTTTGTCCTTCAATTTCATAATTTATTAAAAAATTATCCAAAAGAAGACTATTTCTACTCTTCAGAAGATGATGCCATCATGTTTAATGAGGAGTGGGCTAGAAGATCTCGTGAAAACTATCACGAAAATACTATTGTGGTAGATAAAGAAGAACATATAAAAAAAGTGGCATCTGGAGAAACAAAAATTAATAAATTATGTTTTATTGTTACTGACAGTGAAGATAATAAAAGTAAGTTTTATATATATATATATATTTATTAATATATAATAGTAAGAATTTTATACATATCTTATTACATTTTTTTTTTTTTTTATTATATTCAAATATATTATATTCAAATATATTTATATATTTTTAATATAATATTGATGATAATTATACTCTATTTTAACATTGATAAATTGATAAAATATTTAATATCATTATAGAAATCATTATTATCATTGTCGTTATTATTGTTATTAAATATAATATATATATATATTTGTAAATATTTTTAATACTAATGTTCATATTAATAATATTTATTTATTTATTTATTATTATAATTTTAATCTATAATCTTATTATTTTTAATTATTATTACTATTATTAAATATTTATATATAATATGTTATATATAAAAAGAAATTAAGGAACAATTGATTGAAATGAGTAAACCTTATAATTTAGAATATGCCTATTCCACCTCCTTCTTTTTAGAATTTATGCCACCTCAAACGAATAAAGGTACTGGATTAACTCATCTTATTCAAAGTTTAAATATTTCAAAAGATGAAGTTCTTGCCTTTGGTGATGCTGGTAATGATGTTGATCTCTTAAAGAATGCAGGATGGCCAGTAGCCATGGCCAATGGGACTAAAGAATTAAAAGCCGTATCAAGGATTGAAACGAAGTCCAATGAAGAGGATGGTGTAGCCTACTTATTAGAAAAGATATTTTTATGAGAAGAAGAATAAAAAATAAAAAATAAAATAAAGATAAAAAAAAAAAAAAAAAAAAAAAAAAAAAAGATAACTATTATGAAGTTTATAATTTTTTTTCTTTTTGCAAAAAAAAATATAGAAGAAAAAGAAAAAGACAACAATAATAATAATAAAAAAAGTATAAATAAATAAAAAAAATAAAAAAGTATAAATAAAAAAAATAATAAAAAATTTGATTATGAAGTTCCCTACAAATAAAAATAAAAATATACTTAAAAAAAAAAAAAAGAATAATAATAAAAATAAAAATTAAAATAAAAATAAAGTAAAAATTATCTAATTTTTTTTTTTTTTTTTTCTTTTTTTTTTTTTTTTTTTTTTTTTTGTTTTTGTTTTTAATAGTTAAATTTTTTACAAGTCCTATAAATTAAAAATAATATATAAATACGTGGATGAATAGATATTTAATAAATAAAATTTATAATAAAGTAGAAAAATAAAAAATAGTAATATATTTAAAAAGAATATAGTTAAAAAAAAAAAAAAGAAATAAATATATAACATTTATAACTTATAATAGAACGTAATGCCCTAATATTCATTTCATATAAAATGTATTTATATATATAATGTACAAAAACAACAATAAGTTGAAGGATTATGATAATATTATAATCATCTCTAAATTACACTTTTTTTTTTTTTTTTTTTTTTTTTTTTTTTTTTTTTTTCTGTTTTATAAAAGACAATTTTATTATTGAAATATTCTTATTTTACTTCTTTTTTTTATTAGCTTATTTTATATGGCATAATAAATTTACTATTCAAACCTATGCTAATATATATATATATAAATTATCTAATGATATTAATGATTTTATTGAAAAATATGGAATAATATTAACAAATATATTTTTTTTTAAAATATCCTTTTTTCAATAGTTTAAAATAATTAAAACGTAATAAGCATTTTTTTTTTCAATTAAATTTAAATCGATCTAATATAATATTGAATAATAAACTTTTTTTTTTTTTTTTTTTTTTTTTTTTAATAAGATTTTTTAATAAATTTTGATCAAACTTTTTCCATATTAAAAATGCATACATTTAATTATTAAAGCAATCTTAATATTTAAATAACTTTAATAATAATAATAATAATTGTAATTATTATAAAAAGAAAAAAATTTTTTTTTTAAAAAAAAAAAAAATCAAAATTAAGATTGAAATTAAAGATCATTCTATAGATATGAAAAAAAATATTTCAAATGAGTATTTAGAAGTAAAAAGATGAATAATATCTTATTATAATATATATATATATATTTTAAAGTCATTTATATCTATATAAAACATTATTCCACATATGAAGTCTTTCCAATTATTATTTTGGTTGATAGCACTCGGGACTAATACACATAAGGGTTCTAAATCGATCCATCGACTACCTCCTGAATTTATATGGGGTGGTTTTCATCCTCTCAGGGTATTTTTCTCTCAAAATGAAGTTGGTCTTAGTTCTCTATGATAAGTATTTCTGTTGCAAGGCTATATAATTACTAGTGCAGAGTGTGATAGGATTAGTATAGTTGTTCCTCCCTCGATGATGGTTTAAAAGATCACTGAAAAGAAAGTCCATGGTATAAAGCAGTGTATAGAGAATGCCTTTCATATGAGTCTTGCTTATAGAGAGGTCCGTTTCATCGCCATAACAGTATGACTAAGGATCCAATGAGAGTCTGATACTTTTAGAGGAGAGACCGGGAGCCCTATTGTCCTTCCTCTTCGTTAATCTCAGACTTAAAAACAAATAATATTTAATAAAAAACAAGTATATGATAATAATAATAATTATGAGATTGAAATTAAATATATTTGTAATAATAATAAATTAATAAATTCTTTTTTTGGTTAATTTGTAAATTTGTAATTTAAATATAAAATAATTCCAAAAACTTTAAAAAAAACTTTAAATTAATAATTAAATAATTTAATTATAATAGATTTTATTTAAACATTATATATATTATATAGACCATTAAGAATATTAACATTTATTTATTTATTATTCATTTATTAATAATAAATACTCTTTTTAATTAATTAAATAATTAATTAATTATTTATTTATTCAATTATTTATCATGTATTATTTATTAATACTCTTTTTATTTATCATTTATCATTTATTATTTATTATTTATTATTTATTGTTTATTATTTATTATTATTTATTATTTATTATTTATTATTTATTATTATTTATTATTTATTATTATTTATTATTTATTATTTATTATTCAATTATTTATTATTTATTATTTATTATTTATTATCTATTATTTATTATTTATTATTTATTATTTATTATTTATTATTTATTATTTATTATTTATTTATTTATTATTTATTTATTTATTATTTATTATTTATTATTTATTATTTATTATTTATTATTTATTATTTATTATTTATTATTTATTATTTATTATTTATCTATACATTTATTTAGTTTGGTTTAGTCATTTAAAAAAGCAATTCCATTTATATTAAAATATATTAAAAATTTATATACATATTCAATAAAATAATATAATTAATATAATTAATATGTAGAATTATATATTATTTTATATTTTATTTGTAATTATTCATATATATATGAGACTAATGGCATTTTAAATTAAGATTTTTATGTCATTATTAAATTTATTTATTTAGTTAATTAATTATTCATACATTGATTTAGTTAAATAGATAAAAAAGGAAATCATTTTTTTATAATGGAAAAAAATAAAAAAAAAGCAACTAAAAAAGGAAATCATTTTTTTTAATGATGGCAAGCACCTTTACCTCATATCTTTAATACTGCTGCTTATCTCTTAGGGAGGAACGGCTCATAACTAGAAATTATAAAAACTTATTCATACATTAAATAATTGAATAATAATTAATAAATAATAAATAATAAATAATATATAATAAATAATAAATAATAAATAATATATAATAAATAATAAATAATAAATAATATATAATAAATAATAAATAATAAATAATAAATAATAAATAATAAATAATAAATAATAAATAATAAATAATAAATAATAAAT